GACCCCCGGCACCCCCGCCTGCCTCCAGGTCCCGTTGTACCGGAGCAGGGTCAGACCTTTTTCGTGCTGCAGCCACTTGCGGTCGAGGTAGTAGCCGTAGCAGCTCTCGAACTCCCGCGGGCTGTAGTTGGGGACCGGGATGGGGACGAAAGGGTCCAGCGCGTCGAACCCCTCCTAGGAAGGGAAGGGAGGGAGGAAGAGAAGTCAGGGATGAGACCCGCGGGCGGCGGCAGCGCCCGGCCCTTCCTGCTGGAGCTGCTGGGAACAGGCACAGCTTGGTTTTTAAAATCATAGAACTGTAGAACCATTTAGGTTGGAAAAGCCCCTTAAGAACATCGAGTCCCACTGCTCCCCAAGCACTGCCCAGGCCACCACTAACCCATGTCCCTCAGCACCACATCTACACGGCTTTGAAATCCCTCCAAGGATGGGGACTCCACCCCTGCCCTGGGCAGCTGATTCAAAAGAGAATAAATTATGTGTGACCTGAAGAGACTAAAGCAAGGTCTGCCCCCTGCACTGAACACAATTCCCAAACCAAGATTTCTCTTTGTTTCCCAATGGGCAGGGAGAAGAGGGGGGATGAGGCTAGGACTCACCTTTCCCAGCAATTCCTGGGGCAAATAGGCAGAGCTGGGTTTGAAGAGGGAGCCTGTCTGGCTGAGGGTGGTCACAACAGCTCCTCCGTTCTAAAAGGAAGAGCAGATCAGAAACCTTATTAGCTACCAAGGCAAAATTTGTGACACAGTCACAAACTGATGCTAAAAAAAGCAAGGGTTGTTTTTTTTTATCTTACATTTGCTTCAGTTCCCAAATTCCATCATGTTCCAAACCATGTTAGTCTTGGCAGCTCCAAGTACCAGTGCAGCACAGGGAACACAGAGCTGCTGTTCCCAGTGCTGGCATTTAAACATGTCCTTCTTAGCCATAAATGGCTTCTAGTTGAAACAACTTAAAAGCTTTAAAAAGGACTATTTTGTATACTTTCAAACCTAACTCCCCATTAGAGATATCAGAGCCCAGGGGCTCACTCCCTATAGCAAAAAAGTTTAGCAGGTTTTTTTAGGCACTGAAAGTTCTCATTAGTTCAAAAAATCTTAGTGTCACTAAGAGTTATTAAATACCTCTAGCTCAGGAAGCAAGAGGCATCAACTGGAGTTTGGCAGGGTGATCAAGAAAAGCATTGTATCTCTGGGTGATGTCAGAAGCACAGCTGAGCACACCCCTCCCAGCTGCGCTCCCCTTCACCAAAGGAGCAGTGAGAGCTCAGATCTCTTGCTCTAATTGTGAACAACACACTCAAAATCCAGCCCAAACTCACCCAATTGTTCATCATCATCTTCCTAAGGTTGTACACAAGCGTCAGCTCCTCTGGAGAAACCTGGTGAAGATTGTGCATCACTTTTTTTGCCAGCATTTTCTGAGACAAATTCCCCTCTCCTGCTTCAGACTGGAAGGATTGTTTGCATCATTTAGGCACAATTTTTTTCTTGCTTTGACTTAGCACTGCAGCATCCAGCCTCAGTATTTTACACAGAGAAATGCCCAGGCCTTCCTGACTCTTAAGAGGACACACATGTGTTTCCTTCTTACTGAGAGAACTTTCTTCAGTAAAAACAGTCTGAACATGGTATGAATTTTGCAGGTCCCTCCAAGTCAGCAAAGCCAACTGGGAATTCCTACAGAGCTCAGAAATGAACAACCTCCCCACCCTCGCCTGCTCTCCCTTGCAGCAGG